TTTTAGACTAAAAAAAAAAATCACTGCCTTCCGAAGAGCACTTCAAATAACCATCAAAGGCGGTGCAGCTGCCCTTTTATAAACTTACCAGAAAGGCAAGTTTTAACAAACGACTTTTTATAACGACAAGGTGCAGCACCAATCACACGTTAAACAGGTGTGAGGGGAAGAATTTCACTGCGCGCCAAAGTGCAAACCAAACAGAACACTCAACCGTCCTCATCCATCCAGTTTGCAAAAAGCAACGCAGAGAGGGGTGTGGAAGGTCTTCCAAGGTGCCAGTTTTCAGAGTGCCTGTGAAAAGTTAGGTCAAGACCCCCTTCCTTGACACTTGCCAAGAAACTCCCCGAGAATTCTCTTTGCCCGGGAGCAGGACAGGTACTCAGGCCTTCTCCAGCTAAGGGGGCTGTGCGCCAGGCCTCTGTTGGGGATCCGTCCTGCTGGGTCGCCCCGTTCCAGCGCGGCAGCCACGCACGTGGTGCCAGCAGCCGGCTCTGGCTCCCCCTTCCACTGCCACCAAGCACCTCCGGCCGCCCTGATTGGCGGAAAGCTGCCAGAGCCCGAGCCGCGCCGGGGCGGGAGGAGGCCAATGGAGCAAAACTGAGAGGAGTCGTGGACCCGCGAGCGGCCAGCTCAGAGTGGCAGGTCCCGCGTGTTGGCCCCTGGCAGGTGGCGGGGCACCACTCCACGCCGGGGCTGCGCAATGCCCCACGTGGGCCCTGGCTCGCTGCCGGCGCTCTCCTCCCCACGTCCGGCAGCGCTCACCTCAGCGCTGGCGGCGCCTCCACCTTCAGCTTCTTGGGCTTAGGCTCTTCCTCAGCAGCTGCCATCTTCGCGCTCCCACCCTACCAGGGATCCACCGCGCGCCCCGCCCCGTGCCCGCCACACCGCCTCCTCTTCTCTGAACACCGCCCCCTTCAGACACCGCCTAGTGCGGGACACTCCGCTCCGCCACCATTGGCTCTGCCCGCCCGGCCCCACAGCGACGGCCACGCCCCCTCAGGAGCCCACCCCCTGTCGGGGACCCGAGGCTGAGGGAGGCTGCACGAGGAGCGCCTGCGTCCGAAGGGAACGGAATCGTGCCCCTTTTCGAGATCCTAGCTGAACTCGCAGGCTGAGATGCCAAACTTCAAGAGACCGCCTTGCTCTGCTCTCACAGCTGCTTATTCTTTCTAATTCGAGAGACCGAGTTTGAGTCTTTGAAGCTGTTCATCAGGCATTGTACTGGGCACTCCAACTGCAGGGTCCTCACAGCCTTCTCTGCTGCCTCAGCTTTGGTCCGGAGAGGACCCGGCGCCGAATCGCGGGGATTGTCCCGGGTGTCTGGGTGAGTGTGAGGGCCGGGGAGTCTACGTGCTGGGCACAGCTGGAAAACTGGGCAGGCGACTGGATGGCGGAGGGTCGCGGAGCTGGGGTTCGGGAGCGTCTCTAAGGCCGCATCTCCCGGACACTGCCGGCCTTCCGGGCTTTCTGGCCAGCTGCGCCGGAAGACAGCGGTGCACCTGCAGCGCAGTGTTCCCAGGCACCCGGGGCGACCTTCTCCGTGCACCCGGGCGAGGCAAGGGCCTTCTTGGAGTTCCGAATATTCGAATGAGCCCCCAAGCTTCCTCTTTGGAATGCGAAACTGCTGGTGGACCAGAGCGGACTTCCTGTTAGGAGGACGCCCGGGGTGGAGAATACAGTGAGGAGGAGGAGCCCGTTCCAAAAAGTCGCGGTTGCTTGTTGGTTGGGTTCAGGTTTGTTTGAACCTAATGTGTGATGAAGAAGGTGGTGTCACTGTGAAATTAAGAGCCTTCACAGAACGTAAAGCGATTTGTGGAGTTGGATCTTTATGGAATCCTCAGCAATGGTTTAGGTGGTGAAAAGAGAAATGAAATTTGCCTCGGGAGAGGAGTCTGAGAAGTTAGCTGGAAATTAACTTTCAGGGCGAGAACAGAAACCATGACGTTTCTTGGAGTAAGATAAGAAGGTTTTCTTGTGTGTTCTGGAATGTTACTGGTCACATAAATTGCTGCAAGAGTTCCAGGAGGAAGTTGAAGGCTGGGAATAGATAGGCATTCGTGACTGGAAAATCTTTGGGCTGCTTGAGAGAACTAGTTTAGTAGTGTTGTGTAGACTAACCCTTTTTCTTTTGGGGCATGAAACAAGATTACTCACAATGGCAAGGTGAAAAGTTTGGGGTTTGATTGTTTTGTAGAGTGCAAGATGTGTGTGTGTGTGCAGAAAGAAAATAATAAGTGTGCTAGATTAAGGATTCCAGAAAGGGAAGAGAAAACCCCAGACGAGAAGGAAGAGGATGTCATGGTTGCCAGTGGAAAGATTGAAAGAGAGCCATTTTCAACACAAGCTTTCCTGAAAGGTGGAGCACATGGAGAATTTCCTGAAACTTACATATCTTTAGGACAGTTCTCTTCACCTTAAGAATACGTTTTCTTACCATATTTAATGATTTTTGCAGTTTCTAACTATTGATTACAAAATATTTCTGGAGATCAGTGCACATTAGATATTTTTAAATAGCTCTGTTGTACCGTAATTCTTGAGTAGCAATGGTGTTTATGGAGAAGAGGATTTCTCTATCTACAAATGACTTGCTCTCCCTTGTATCAAGAAGATGGAAGCCATCATGTTCCTGCACGCCATGTACAGACCTTTTCTGTTTGAAGATTGAGAAGTGTCCCTTCTCTGTAGATGGCATCAACTGCAAATATCGTGCTCTCTTGCATTCGCAGGGTCTTTCATTTACTCCCCGACTTCTGGATCAGCTTTTACCCTCTGCCTTACATATCATCCTTCCTTTTACATTTCAGAAAGTGCTCCATTTATTTTCCTTTCTTTTCTTTTGAAAGGCAGAATGAAAGAGAGAGAAAGGAAGAGATTTTCCAACAATTGGTTCACTCCCCAAATAGCCAGGGCCAGGCCAAGCCAAAGCCAGGGATTTCAGCTGAAGGTCAGTGCTTGAGCCATCTGCTGCTGCTTTCCCAGGTGCTCTTACTGGTTGTTGGCATTGCAGGTGGCAGCTTGGCTTAACATCTGCATCGCGATGCTAGCTCTATGTTTTCCTATGTTTTTCATTTCTTGTACAGATAGTTTTCTTCATTCTAATAACTTCTTGGGTTTGTCTCCTGCTTACTGCTTAGTTCTCAGGCCACTTCAATGCCTTTTTCCAGCCTTCCTCTCAACTTCCATTCCAACTTTTATCAAGATCACCAACATCTTCCATGTGTTAAATCTTGCTTTCTTGGTGTGGGAAAACAGTGCTTCTTTTTTTTTTAAAGATTTATTTTATTTTTATTGGAAAGGCGGATATACAGAGAGGAAGATCTTCTATCCAGTGGTTCACTCCCCAAGTGACTGCAACGGCTGATGCTATGCCGATCCGAAGCCAGGAGCCTCTTCCAGGTCTCCCACCCGGGTGCAGGGTCCCAACACTTTGGGCCGTCCTCGACTGCTTTCCTGGGCCACAGGCAGGGAGTTGGATGGGAAGCGGGGCTGCCGGGATTAGAACCGGAGCCCATATGGGATCCTGGGCGTGCAAGGCGAGGACCTTAACCACTTGCGCCACCGCGCCAGGCCCAAAACAGTGCTTCTTGTGAGACCAACAAAATCATACTCCTACATTCTCAGGCAGTATATTGGCCATTCAACAAATAGTTTTGAATATGTTGTGTACACTAGGCACTTGCACATGTAAGGAGGAATAAAACAGTTCATAACACTCAGAACACAGATAAAGTACAGATTCATATACATTTATGTGTTTAGTAGATGAACATACTGTATTTTGAGGTAATCAATTTTTTCTGGCTATGTTAGCTCAATTTAATCCTTCCACATTTTATTTTTAGATCATAACATCACTTAATAAATATTAGTGTAATTTGTCACTTTGCAATCTAAAAAATTATAATTTTTTTAAAGTTTTGTAGCAGTGAGGCAGGGCATGGGTAAAAAGAATGTGACAATGCTTAGCAGACAGAAAGAAATGTGTTTGAGAAACACCAGTAAATCAACAGGTGTCTTCTTGTGCCTTGACCTGTTTGCATGATTTAATCAGTGTTTCCATTCCTTTTGTTCTGGAAACATTGTAGCAAACTCTGGTTACTAAAAATCATACACACTTAACTTGTAGTCTTTTTAGGCCCTTTCCCTTCCATCACCTGCAATTCCAGTGTTGGAATTCCTTCCTTGGGCTCTGTCCTTAATACGCACATTTGAATGTAATCTTTTGAGTCAAACAAATACAAAATTGGGTCAAATTATATAGGACCAGAAATAAATGTCTTATCTTCCTTCTCATTTCCACGCCCTTCTTTTCCAAGACTAAATGACTTTCCTCCAAGCATAACTAAGTTTGTATCCTTGGTACTGGCATTGTGGCATAGCAGATAAAGCCACTGCCTGCAACATTTGGGGGCCAGTTTTAGTCCTGACTGCTCCATTTCTGATCTGTCTTCCTGTTAACCACTTGGGAAAAGCAGCAGAGGATGGCCCAAGCTCTTAGGGCCTGGCCACCTGTGTAGGAGACCCAACTAAGCTCCAGGTTCCAGGCTTTTCCCTAGCCTAGTACTGGCTGATACAACCATCTGGGGAATGAACCACTGTATGGAAGATCTCGATCTCTCACTCTTTCTCTCTTTTTGCCCCTTTCTGTCTCTGCTTTTCCCTGGAACTCTTTCAAAGTAAATTAAAAACGTTTATGCTTTCATTTTATCCTCTTCCTGTTGTTGGCATCTTAGTCCAGATTCATCTTTCAACTGATACTGTGGTCAGTGCTCACTTTCCCAATTTCCACAGACTAAATAATGGAATCTTTCTAAACATGCAAGTAAGATTGCATGATTCATCTGCACAAAACAAATAAGTGATAGACTATGGTACATGCGAGTGATGTTCAGACTGCTTAGCGCCGCTTGCATTGCCCTGTGGGTTGTTCTCTACTTGTTCTTCTCTCATCTCACCACTGTCCTGCAGCGTACCTAATGCGTTCTGGTGTTCTCTCTCACCAACAGGCCGTGTAGATGCTTAGCGCAGACTAAGAATGATAGCACCTTCATTGTGTGTAATCCTCTCTGCTGAACTCTAAATGGCTGTGAATATGGGACTCCGTTTCATTCCACTTAGTTTCCAGAAGTACCTTGTGTATAACACATATTCAGAACTACTTTTTGAAATGAATAAATGGTTAAAGTAGTATGAGACAATCAGAGAAACTGGATACTTTTCTGGTCTCAATCTCATTTCAGAAATAGACCACTCTATGCTTTGTAAATAGAGAAAATGAATATATTTTCTCCTTTAGATATTGTCTTCTCAGGATATTTTGACTACTGTAATTTTATTGCTTATAAAATACCAGGAGTGCACTGCATTTAATCCATGGGATTTGTGGAGTATTTCTGCCATAAAGGGTATGCTGATGCTGCCTCTGAACCTCATTTCTCTATTAAATAAACTGAAAGATTTCTGTTTTCTGACTCCAGAGAAACTGAGAACACAAAAATGGTTGGAGTGATAGTGTCTATGTAGCTGTATGGGCAGTTAATTGAAATAAATTGCATCTGTTAAAATGACACTGTTGCTGAAAAACAGGTTGATTTATGCTGCTACAAGTGGTTTTATTTTATTATTGTATGCATTAAACTCTTAGTGATAATATGGATATGACAGATGAGCTCTGTTTTCCTATTAGAGATGGTTGAGGTGGGGCTTCAAGGTAAGCACCGTTAATGGCTGCCAGTGTTGTGCTTTCATCTCAGCACTAAGGCTTCATGTCAGCAAATCCAGCAGGCTGCTTTATTCTTCTGGGACCTGAACTGCTGCCAGGAAAAACAACTTTGGTGGAAACTTTCCTGGAAAGAATATTCCAGCAGCTTAAGAGGATGAGTAGAGATCTAGCCCTCAAATAAAGAAACTCCGAAGTCACTTGCTTCAAGAACAGACCTCATGTGTTTGGTGGCATGACTGCCAAGATCCATGAGAAGTATACTTTCTGTGGCATGAACGTTGTCAGCTCTTGCAATCCGATTTTTTTCCTGTAAATAATTCGTTTAACTTTGTCAGTATAAAAGCCAGAACATGTTTTGACTTACATCTACAAGAGAAGTGTATGCTTCATCTCTTCCTCTTTAGTCGAAAGGTGGAAGCAGCACATTCCCTGCTCTGTGCACCACCAACCACATGTGTTTTTTTTTTTTAACTTAATTAAAATTCCAGCATGTCAGTGACATCTGCTGTGTTTGTCAGGCCCAGTAGCCACATACATCTAATGACTACCATGTTGGACAGCACAGCTGAAGGACAGCTCCATCACTGCAGGAGGCCCTCTTGAATAGTGCTGTGCAGGAATGGGTTTGTACATCATTGGGAGGCAGATATGAGCTGCAGCTTAGAATTCATCTGGATCTCAGTTTTAATCCTAGCTCTGATGCTGTGTTATTTTAGGCAGATGACTTAGGTTTTCTGTATTGCCCTATGTATAAAATGGAGGTAAAAGCAGCAAGTAATAGCATTGTGAAGATTAAATGAGAACATAAAGTGCCTAGCACAGACTGTGGCCCACAGCAGATACTCACTTCATCAGTCTTTGATGTGTAAGACACATTGAGAGGACTTGAAAGAATTTTTTAGAAGGATGCTACTCCACAGCTGGCTTACCTGAAGTATTCAGATCTGAGGTCACAAGTTTTTCCTCAGATGCAGATTTTATTCTAAGAAAGATACATTAAATACGACACATTGTTAAATAAAAATTTAGCTAAAGCCTCTTCATTAGCAATTCCTGTTCTTTTTTTTTTTTTAGATCAATTGAGGTTATGAAGTCAGCAGAGTCTATGTAGCGAAGTATGTATTCAGGAGCACTTGTAGTAATATCCAGATAGGAAACCAAGGGTGTCGCCAAGTATATCTGCCAAATAATGCATCTGACTAGATTAAAAAAAATATATATATATAGCAATTCCTAAGTCTGAAATGTCAAATTATTACTTTCAGCTCAGCTTGCTTGCTTTATAGAGATAGCCTTGGCAGGGAGTGGGGGGACACAATTTTGCTTCTAATGAGATCTCTAAATTCTTAACTCTTTAGTATTTATTAATGCACTAATACTAAATACACACCTTAGAAATTGATATTGTTTACTTGGTAACTATTGAACACAGCCAAATGGGGAACAGGAAATCATTACTAGATAGTCTTTAAATGTCAGCTGCTTTCATACAAATAAATGACTTCCTCTGAAAAGAATCGGTCAGTTTGATGTCATTGTTTTGTGTGTCAATAGAATTGAGTGAGTCAACTCTATTTCCTCTTTGAAATTTGTCTTTATAGAATCTGTATTCATAGATTTTTTAAAATTCTTTTTATGAATTAGTTTGAAAAGTAGAGACAGAAAGAGGAAGATCCTTCATTGTGATCTTGTTTTGCATTTGCCTAATGACTGTGGTACTTAGGGTCTGGGGGATGAGGGGGGACTTATCATTAATATGTAAATTTCCTTTGGAGAAATGTTTTAATTGTCTTGTTATGAAGTTGTAAGAGTTCTTTATCTATAAGTAGATAATATTCCCTTTTCAGATACATAGTTTTACTTTCTTCACAGTGTCCTCTGAAGCATAAAAGTTGTAATTTTAATAAAGCCAGTTGACTTATTATTTTGTTGCTTGTGCTTTTGGTATCACATCTTTAAAAAAAAAAAAAGAAAAACTTATCCAGGAACATGAAGATGTGTGCATTTTTTGCTAAGAGTTTTATAGTTTCAGCTCTCACATATAGATCACTGGTAACATTTTATGGTACTTCTATAGAGTATGAGGTGGAGAACCAGGTGTTTTTTGTCTTTGTGGTTATTTCACAAGTAGAAATCCTGTTGTCCCAGTACCTTTTGTTGAAAACACTGTTTTTTTCCTCTCAGATTAAATGGTCTTTTGTACCTTGGTTGAAAAGCAGCTGACTGTAAACCTAAGCATTTCTTTTGGAACTCACAGTTCTTCACTGACGTATGTCTTGTGCCAGTGCTACTTGCTAGTTTTGTAGAAGGCTTTGAAATCAAGAACTGTGACTGCTACAACTTTGTGGGAGTTTTTTTGTTTGTTTCTTTGTTTTATTTAAAAAGATTGTGTGACCTGTTCTTGGTCTCTTTCATTTCTATTAACCCTCTGGTTTTCACAAAAAGGTCAGTTGGGGTTTCGTAGATATTGCAGCCAATTAATCAATTTGAGGAATATTTGACCTTAACAGTATTTATGCTTGCCATGTATACATATAGCATATCCTTCCACTTTTATGTGTTTTTCATTTATTTCAAAGATTTGTAAATTCAGTGCACAGGTCTTATCCTGCTTCTATTAGATTTATTTCCTGTGTAATTAAATCCTTTGGATACTATTGTTAAAGAATTTTTCTTCTTTAAATTTTTGAAATTCTTATCATTTGAGAGACAGAGCTCCCATCCTCTGGTTCAGGACCCAAATACTTGCATCTGCTGGGGAGCAGGTCACCCCAAAGCCAGGAACCAAGCACACAATTCATGTCTCTTGAGTGGGTTATAGGGACCCAGTTACTCAGCCATCATCACTGCATTGCAGGGTCTCTGTTAACAGGATGTTGGAGTTGGGAACTAGAACCAGGTATGAAACCTGAATATTCCAGGAAGATGTCTCAGATAGTAGACTAAATGTCTGACCCTGAAATTATTTCCATAATTCCATTTTCAAGCTATTTATGGCTAGCGAATAGAAATTTTGTTTTTTCTTTAATAATCTAAACTGGAACCTTACTGACCTCAGCTGTTAGCTCTGCTAGGTTTTTCTATGTGTATTCCTTAAGATTTTCTACATAAAAAATTATATCATCTGTAAATCCAGTTTTGCCTCTTCCTATTCATTTTGAAAGCCTTTTGTTTCATGTTCTTACTTAATTTCCCTGGCTAGAAACTCCAGTACCATGTTGAATAAAAATGATAAGAATGTATAATCCATAATTGTTAATCCCTCCCTTTTTAAACATTTGCTTATTATTTAAAGTCAGGTTTACAGAGAGAGGTCTTCCATCTATCTGCTGGTGTATTCCCGAATTGGCCACAATGCCCAGGACTGAGCCAGGGGCTTCATCTGGGAGTCTCCCACTTGAGTAGCAGGTGCCGAGCATTTGAACAACCTTCCATTGCCTTCCTAGATCATTAGCAGGGAGCTGGATCTAAAGTGGAACAGCCAGGACATGAATCTTCACTAAACGGGATAGTGGCATCATAGGGCAGCGGCCAATAGGCCACATGCTGGCCCCCATATTTACTAACATTAGTTGCAGGAATTCTCATGGTCTTTGTCATGTTAAGGAACTTTCTCTTCCCAATTTAAGCATTTGGATTATTTTGTTGTTTTTTCATAAAACGATACTAGATTTTGTCAAATACTTTTCTATACTTTTTCAAATGAGCATTTGTTTTTTTGTTACTTGTATTAATATTGCATATTTCATTGACTTTCTTATGTTGAATCAACTTTGCCTTGGAAAAAATCTCTCTTGGTCAGGGTATGTAGCCTTTTTAAGATGTTATTGGATTCGATTTGTTAGGGGATATATTTTTTTAATTTTTACATTAATTTGTTTTTAATTTATTGAAAGAATTATGAGGGTTGGGGGATTGAAAGAGAAAAATCTTACACCTACTGGTTCACTCCCCAGATGACCACAACAGCTTTAGCTGGTCCAGGTCAAAGCCAATAACCAGGAGATTCTTCCTGGTCTCCCATATGGAATGCAGTGGCCCAAACACTTGGGTCATCTTCCACTGCTTTCCAAGGCGCATTAGCAGGGCACTGAATCAGAAGTGGAACAGAGGAACACAAACCAGTGTCCTGTGGCTTTACTCACTGCTGGCCCCTATATCAGTATGGTCTGTAGTTTCTTATATTGCCTTTATACAGTTTTTGTGTGTGGATAAGACTTGGACAGTTCAAGGTATTTAATAAAATAAAACCTTTTTCCTCCCCACAGAAAAATGATCCACAGTCTATTTCTCATCAACTGTTCTGGTGACATATTTCTCGAGAAGCACTGGAAGAGTGTTGTGAGCCAGTCTGTCTGTGATTATTTCTTTGAAGCTCAGGAGAAAGCAGCTGATGTTGAAAATGTACCACCTGTCATTTCAACACCTCACCACTACCTCATAAGTATCTACCGAGATAAGCTCTTCTTTGTGTCTGTCATACAGACTGAAGTGCCACCTCTCTTTGTAATTGAGTTCCTACATCGAGTTGCGGACACTTTCCAGGTTGGTTATACCTGAGACATTTCTAATTTAAGTTACCCAAGTGAGCTGGAAGTGGGACTCAAGATTAAATACTCAGCCTTTAATGTCTACATTTTGTTTCTTTCTCACTTCATAAACCCTTTTCTCTAGAGTATACAGTATTACAGATGGCTGCTGTGTTTACTCTATGGATTATATCATCATGCAGTAATAGTGTCTCCAAATGAAATTTCTTTTGATGATCTCAAAATTTTTGCTTATTGAACTCTTCTGTATTTACATTCTACTAATTCTTATTTTGCTGTGTATACCAGATAATTTAAGACTTATCCATATGTGGTTTAGGGGTGATAAGTATAAATGAACAGTTTCTTGTTTTGTTTTGTTTTAATGCTTATTATTTTTATCTACTTGAAAGGCGGTGATAGAAATAGAAATGCTCTTCCACGCACTGGCCAGGCTGAAGCCAGGTACCAGGAACTCTGGGTCTCCCATGTGGAGAGAAGGGACACACGCACTTAGCCATTGTCCTCTGCCCCAGAGCGTACATAAGCAGAAAGTTGGATTGGAAGTGGAAGAATTTCACTGGCACTCTGTTGAAGGATGGTGGTATTCTTAAGCAGCCTTTTACCCACTTTGCTATAACATTTATCCTAGGAAAAGTGAAGCTTACTGCTCACATTCTAGTGTAACCTTTCTTATTATTATTTTAAGATTTCTTTTTATTGGAAAGTTAGATTTACAGAGAGAAGGAGAGACAGAAAGATCTTCCATATACTGGTTCACTCTGTAAGTGACTTAAGAGCCAGAGCTGAGTGGATCTGAAGCCAGGAGCTTATTCTGGTTCTCCCAGACGGATGCAGGTTCCCAAAGTTTTGGGTCGTCCTCAACTGCTTTCCCAAGCCACAAGTAGGAAGCTCAATGGGAAGTGGAGCAGCTGGGATATGAACTGGCTCCCATATGGAATCCCGGCACGTACGAGGCCAGGCCCCAGTTTAACACTTCAGTACTTTCTGGTATGATATGTAATTGGAATCCAGTGCATTCTAAAACATTTAAAGTAAGCAGACTTTTGGCCTGATAGTTAACTACTTCATTCAGTGTCAGAATGGCTGGGTACCCAGCTCCTGAATTCAGCTTCCTGATAATGCAGACCCAGTGAGACAACAGTGATGGCTTGCTCACTGGCTGCTTGCAGCCTGTGGAAGATTCCTGCATTGACTTTTTGGCTCTCTGCTCTGCCCTGACCTGACCACAGCTTGCATTTAGGGAGTGAAGAGGTAGATGGGAACTGTCTGTCTCTCTCTCTCTCTGTCTTTCTCTCTCTCTTCCTTTCAAATAAATAATAAATTAATAAAATATTCAGGATAATGCTAGGAGGAGAGAAATTTATTCTTTCTGCTTATAGATTTCCAATAACTTAAATAGTAAGCTATGCTACTGCAAATTTATTCTTCAGAATAAAAAGTATTTAGCAAATATTTCTTCCTACTTTCCATTGTGCCAAGTTCTGTATATTTTGTTAGGACTATTTTGGTGAGTGTTCGGAGGCTGCAATTAAGGATAATGTGGTTATAGTGTATGAGCTCCTGGAAGAAATGTTAGACAATGGATTTCCACTGGCTACTGAATCTAACATTCTGAAAGAACTGATTAAACCACCAACAATTCTGCGTTCTGTTGTCAACTCTATTACAGGTAAGATGAAAGCATGCTGTGCTGTAGCAATGGAGCAGCTAAAACTTTGTAACACCTCATTAGAACTTACAATATGAAAAATAATCAAAGTAGTAAAATTTGATCAAAATTAGTTACTGCTTTGCACTAACTAGGTGGACTGAATAAATTATCCTAGGTAATCCTCAAGAAGTTAGTATGTGACCCACTTAGAAGAGTATGCAGTTAGCTATAGTCTGGCAGTTTAAATTAACAATGACATTATATAATTGGCAATATGCCATTACCCAGCAATTACTATAGAAAACTTGAGACTTAACCACAGAATGTGTGCTCTGGCCTACCAGTCTTTGTGTCTTATCTATGCAGGAGATGTGTTATAACAAGAGAAAACAGAAAATTAATCTATTTGTTGAGATCTAAAGCTGTGTGGGCCTTATACTTGTTACAATCTTCTAGTTAAGTTTAATTCTTGAGGATGGCTAGTAATTAGTACTGATCACAATATTCTTTTGAAAGCATTAAAATCTTCTAGGGAAGGATTCCGTGAAATGCTTACACCACTCCAACTCTGCCATTCGGCATTCATAAACTCGTGCATTGACTAAAAGTGACATGAACAATGTATTAAGGAAAAGATCATTGAGTAGCTCTGTTATCCTCTTACAAGGCTGAGTGTTAGGAGAACTTCAGAAAAAGATAAGATGAAGCATCTGTTCACTTAAAACTTAAACTCTGGATGGATGGGAACGTATAGAGGAAAAAAAAATAAACCACTGCATTAAGAATATTAAGATAAAAACAGTTCCATAGTTTGGAGGCAATGTAATAACAGTTTTTAAGAAAGCTCAAAACCATTAAACATTACCCTTAGTTCTCTATAAACATTCACAAAGACCAAAAAAAAAAAAAATCTAAAATGCCAAGGAAATACAGAATATATATATATATATTTTTTTCTTGCTTTATCCTTTCCAAACTTCCAAAATGGATATGTATTTTATAATGAGATTAGAAAGTTACTAAATACAGAGTATAAAATTGAGCATATAATTCGTAGGGCAGTATATTCTAAAGTTCAAAAGGATGGTTCTTTGCTGAACTGTGATAGGTGGCCATTGCAGGCCGCTGGAGGATCATTGGAGTTAGCGAAAGGAGGAATGAGAACATTCTCCATAGGTGCAACTGTCCAAGGAAGAACACGCATACAGTAAAAGCCCAGAGTTGTGTTAACCTCTTTGGGAGAAGCAGAGCTGTTTTTCAGATGGATGGCGAGAGAAGTAATTTAGAAGTTGAGAAAGTCCTTGAATGTTGGCTGTTTAGCCTTTATTGTAATCTTGGGAGGTTTTAAGCAGGAAAATAACATGATTAAAGCTGTAGTTTTCAAAAACTATTGTAAAGCAACAGGATGGAGGCATGCATACTAACTGTAAAAGAATCATTGTATGTATGACAGGATTATAAGTGCAATCAGAACAAAATCAATAAGTAATAGAAATAATAAGTGCAGCATTTATGGGGGAAATGCGTAAAAGTGTTAATGGTAATTGTATTTTGTTGCTAAGAAGATAGATTTTTTTGACCAGTTGAGGAACTCTCTCCCTGTTTGGGGCAAGAGAGATTAAGCAAGTACTCCTTTTGGATTAGGAATGTAACATAACCAAAAGTTACATATGTCAAAGCACAAAAACTGTGGTTTTGAACAGCCACACAAGTCTATGTCGATTTATCAGGCAGTTGCTCAGATGCTGAACTTCAGCCGCCTGACAACTAAGTCGGTATGCTGACCTGAAAATGGGAAAGAGCCTGAGTACATTCTTCATCCAGTTACTCCACTGAGGCGTTTTTGGCAGCATGTTGGGTACAATTAAGCAGAATCCCAAAGGACCTAGTTATCACTCTGTATTGTCAGTGGAGACGGTTTATCAGCAAAAAGGTTTTAAAACAACCTCTTTTCTCAAAAGTGGCAGCAGCATGAACTTCTGTTGCTGGGCCACTGAAATTAGGTTGCTGTTAACACACAGGAAGCAAAACATAAGTAAATGAGTTGAACATGGTTTGGCAGGTACACAGAAGACCACATGGCCTATTTCTGTCTCTAGAAATTTGATCATGTTGATTATAGATATGTCTTTGACAGTTCTGGAAAGCACAACACTGAAGAGCCACTAAAGCATTCTTTTTTTTCTTCCTGAAAATTACTTTTCTGAGAACCATTTTATACATCAGCTTTGTTTTCTCCTTTTTGGTTCCCTAGGCAGCAGCAATGTGGGGGACACACTTCCCACTGGGCAGCTGTCCAATATCCCGTGGCGCCGGGCAGGGGTAAAGTACACAAACAATGAAGCGTATTTCGATGTCGTTGAAGAAATCGATGCAATTATAGACAAATCAGGTAATTGCATGCATTTTGTCTTATTTGAGGAAAAGCAATTCAGCTGACATAGACTGAATAGAAAGTCGCCTTCCTCTGACAGTGTAATTCCGTAGCAAGGCATTTATTTTCTAAGGATTTAGAAATCTATTTATCTTGCCCAGAGGTTACATATAATTTTCATAGCCACTAGTTGAGGTCTGCAAAACATTTGTAAATTAGAAGCCATGATGCCTTACTTAGATAAGTGTTATATTGCATACTTCTCCTTGGGACTCATCTCTTATTGTAACAGCTGTCTATCACAACTCTTATCACATACCATAGTTTTACTGCTGCTTTAAGGCCCCCTATCTGATTATTCTTTTAGCATTTTAAAATTTAATTATTAAAAATATCCAGGGCCCAGCTCAATAGCCTAGCAACTAAAGTCATCGCATTGAACGCACCAGGATCCTAAATAGATGCCAGTTCTAATCCTGGCAGCCCTGCTTCCCATCCACCTCCTTGCTAGTGGCCTGGGAAAGCAGTCGAGGGCGGCCCAAAGCCTTGGGACCCTGCACCCAGGTGGGAGACCCAGAAGAGGCTTTTGGCTCCTGGCTTCAGGTCAGCTCAGCTCCAGTTATTGTGGCCACCTGGGGAGTGAATCATCAGACAGAAAATCTTCCTCTCTATATCTTCCTTTCCAATAAACATAATAAATCTTTTAAAAATATATATCCATTGTATAGTAGGGCAGCTATAGTCACAAAATCATATACTGTGAAAGAACTGAAACAGGAGCTGGTATACTACAAACGAAAACAAAAGAAAATGAAAGGCTGGTAGCTTGGCTTAGTCAGTCTGTGCTGTGTATATGTGTTGAAAATATACCCCATAAAAATGTATAAGTATTATGTGTTTATCAAAAAATTAATTTTTAAAATTACCCCATTGTCACATTTTATAAAGAAACTGAAGAGTTAGAGATCGCTTTCGCTTCGCTGTTCATTCCCCAGAGGGCTGCCCCAGCCAAGCTAAAGCCCAAAGGCAAGAGCTTCACCCCGTCTCTGGTGGGGGTGCCAGGGGCCTTCTTCAGCTGCTTTTCTCAGGCCATTAGAAGGAGCTGGATGAGAGTGAAGCAGCCAGGACACAGTTGGCGTTCGCCTGGGGTGCTGGCATCACAGGTGGTTGTTACTTGCATAGCTTAACCACATTTTCTGGAAAACTTGCCTTATTTTTTAATTCTGCTAAAAGTACTTTAAATTCATCTCCATTAGTCTTATGCAACTATTCTCTAAAGAGACAGGTTTGATTTTCTGTAGAATTATTATGTTCCAACCAGAGTGAGGTACAGGCTATAGCACTAAGAAACAAAAAAAGCTTTCTGAAGTGGCGTAGCATGTCATCTGTCCACTGACCTGTTAATCGAGGTGCAAAGCTTCTGTGAGCCTGACACCCTGAGGATGTCTCCTTTACCCCAGATGTAAAGATAGCTGTAGCAAGGGCTCCAGTTCCATTGATGCTTTCGCTCTTTCTCTTCAGGATCTACAGTCTTTGCGGAAATTCAGGGGGTCATTGATGCTTGCATTAAGCTATCAGGAATGCCTGATCTCTCCCTGTCTTTCATGGTAAGTTTTGTTGTCTTATTTGTAGCAAAAGGCTACATTTACTCCTCTAGATGAAATTTCCAACTCATACGTATGAAATACTAAATGAAGTGGTAAGTACTGCAAAGAACTTTGTATCTGAGATTGTAAAGCATCACCTAAGAAATAGTCTTAGCACAGCAGCTTCCAGGACCATGAGCTTATGTGGAAAGCTGGGAGGCTTAGTTTTGCAAATCTCCAGTGTCATTTTCACTGAATAATTGTCTGCTTTATTAATAGTAAAAGGCATTGGACATTTTATCACTTTAGACTTAGCTTGCCACACTGCAAATTTCAGTAAAGAGAACCAGTTTGTCCTGAACCTCAAGTTTTTCACCTATGCCATGGAGTTCCTCCCTCATAGTTAAAGAAATTCAAGTAAAATAATGCATATAAAATATTTGCAAGTTATAAAACATTCTGAAACTAAGGTTATATAAATATCATAATAAATTCTGACTATATTTTAGACAAATAAGTACATAATCAAGGGATACAACGTGATGATTCAATACGTTGATATAATAAATAATGTATAATGATCAAATCAGGATAATCAGCATTTCCATCTCCTTAAACATTTGTGATTCTTACTATTGGCAACCTTCAAACTCCTATCTTCTAATTTGTAAATCATATAAATTGTAAAGTGTATTCATCCTACTGTGCTATAAGAAATCTAGAACTTATTCCTCCTCACCGTATTACAAGATCCATCCTAACGGCCTCCCTCTGTTCGTCCAGCCCTTCACTCTAACTACCTCTAGTAATCACCATTGTCTCTTTTGGAGAGACCAAGGTTTTTAGCTTCCACGTGCAAGTGAGAACATGTGGTATTTGTCATTCTGTGTCTGGTTTATTTCACTCACAACTGTTTTATCTTTAGGGAACACACTAATTTCTCTTAATACCTGAGCAGAGTTGCCATATTTACTTTTACTTTATGAACCTGGCTGTGTTCTGTTTTCCTGGCAGAACCCTAGGCTTCTGGATGATGTCAGCTTTCACCCCTGCATCCGGTTCAAACGCTGGGAATCTGAAAGAGTTTTGTCATTTATTCCTCCAGATGGAAATTTCCGACTCATATCATACCGTGTCAGCTCACAAAAGTATGTTGATGTGTCAGCCAGAATCTGCCATCGTGTGTTAGTGTGCTGAGTAGAGTTCTTTTTCCTCTTTCATTCTGGCAGTCGGGCACTTGAGTTCATCATTGTTCACTTACCCACAGCTTACCATGACACCCAAGCAGAACTGAAGAGAATACATGCTGAAAATTATCTGGACCTTGAATGTAAGAGTGCTTAGCAGTACTGAATGAGACTGCACTGAAGTGTCTGGAGAGCAAGCGTTTGAGACTGCATTACGGGGTAGAACCTCAGAGTCTGTAGACATTCCGCCAACAGAAGGAGACAGGCCTTACAGCTCCCTAGGACTTTCCCCAGCATGCCCGCTCCAGGTCACTCTCCCTGCTGTGAGTTTTAAAGAAGCACTTTAGCATTGCGGGTCTGGAGCAAGTTTTTCCATTGAAAGTATCTGAAGGTATTTGGGTGGTAGCATAAAAATAAGACTCACAAAGCAGAGAAATTGTTTCTTGGTTATTTTCATTTAGGATCTGCTTCATTTATATTAAATTTTAAAGTATCTTTTAGTGGGATTTTTTTAAAAAAATGCAACCATTTGCCTCAGTTGTTTATATACTGTAAGTAGATTTCAGAGTTCTGATTTATATACCTCTTGCTAAGCAGTGATAATTTTCTCGCATACACAGTTACCAGAATGTTGTATAATTTTCAGCTTCCCTTGCACAAGTTCTAAAGATGCAGTTCTAGATGTATGGAGCCCTATTATGGAGCTAGAAGTGGGGTAGGCTACCCTGGACTAACATTTGCAGGGATGTTCTGAAGTTATCCCACACCATTAATTGTGTGTATATGTGCTTTTGTGTCTTTCTCCTTTTAGTCTAGTGGCAATACCAGTGTATGTGAAACACAGTATCAGCTTTAAGGAGAACAGTTCCTGTGGCAGATTTGATATAACAATTGGACCAAAGCAGAATATGGGCAAAACGATTGAAGGAATTACAGTGACAGTTCACATGCCAAAAGTTGTACTGAATATGAACCTGACACCAACACAAGGCAGCTATACGTTTGATCCAGTCACCAAGGTAGAGCCACTTAAGATCAAGAATGAACAAGTGTTTTCTGTCGTCTCTCTTGTGATCTGGTTGAAAGGGAAGAGGAGAGGGTTTAAAACTAAAGTACCTGTCAAAATCAAGAGGTCATACTGAGCTGTGTTACTGGCTACGGAAGGAATCCAAAGTCTGCTTCTGTGTAGATAAAGAAGAAAGTGCAGCTCATTCTGTCCTTTTTCAAGTGCCTTTACTCATGTGTGGTAATCCAAAGAGTCTAATATCTGATGAAAAAGAGGATAAAAGCTTTTTTATAGATATGAGGTGATATTATAATCTATGAATTGTTAGATTTTCTGTAGAAACTGATCATTAAGACCTTTCTGTTCTTTTTTCTTAAGGATGTTGATTTGCTTATTTAAAAGGCAGAACAGCAGAAAGTTCTTTCATCCACTGGTTTACTTCTCAAATGACTGCAACAGCTAGTCTGGGACAGGCCAAAGCCAGGAGCCAGAAACTCCATCCCAAACCCACAAGAGTGGAGGAGCCCAAGTACTTGAAGCATCTTCTGCTGTCTTCCTAGGCTCGTTAGCAGGAAGCTGGATCAGAGCCGGAGCAGCCAGGATTCAAATCAGCACTCCACTGTGGGGTGCTGTCATTGTAAGCAGTGGCTTCACCTAATGGGGCATGATGCCACTCAGCCCTCTTTTAGTTCATTGTCTCATATTCTTCCATAGGAAACATTATTCTCCCTATTTGTACATCTCAATAGGAAAAGATTGTCAAATAACTGTAGAAGGTGATTTTCTCTTGGGTTCCTGCTTGGATAGAAAATATTTTTAACAGCGTAGCCATTGAACTGCCTGATAAAAAAATTTTTTTAAGATTTACTTATTTGAAAGAAAGAAGTACAGAGGGAGTGAGAAAGAAGAGCTCACCTTTCACTGGGTCATTCCTGAAGTGGCTGCAACAGCAAGGTGTGCACGAGACTGGATCCAGAAGCCAGGAGCTTCATCCCGTGATCATTGTCCTGTGCTTTCTTAAGCATATTATCAGAAATTTGGCTCAGAAGTTGAATAGTCAGGACTCAAAACTAGCACCCATGAGGGATAATAGCTACCAGCTGTGCCATAGCAACATCCATTGGTGCACCTCCATTCACAAGTGCACTCTAATAAGGGGGTTTACTTAACCCACTGCACCACAATACTGTACATCAAAAGCTTTTTTTTAAATATAAAGTCTTAAAGATCATGTAATACTAACCAAGGATTTAAAGAACTAACCCAGAAGCAGCACAGAACTGAGAAAGGAGATCTTCAAATCCATGGTAGCTTCACCTAAAACACCTTCCCTTCCGCGCCTGTTATTGACCTTCCACTTCATTTGAGGGTCAGTGCTGTGGTAGTGAGTAAAGCTGCCACCCAAGGTGCTAGCATCCCATATGGGGACTGGTTTGAATCCCAGTTGCTCCTCTTGTGATCCGGCTGCCTGCTAATGTGCCTTAGAAAACAGCAGAGGAGCTCCAACTCCTTGGCCACCTATCCCCACATGGGAGACCCAGAAAAGTCTCCAAGCTCCTGGCTTCAGATCTGCCCAGCTCTGGCTGTTGCAGCCATTCAGAGATAGAAGATACCCGCCAACCCCCCCTCCACCACCACCACCACCTATCTGTTATCTCTGCTTTTCAAATATAACTACCAGCTTAAATAATCTCATTTTATGGAACAATGAAGGTGGTATATAATAAAAAGAGCATTTAAAATCAAATAGGGTTCACTTCAAATCCCAGCATGTCTTTAGCTATCTGTATGACTTCAAGTAATTTGAAATCTGAAACCTTAATTTTCTCATTTTTCACTAAAAGACAACTCCAAGTCACATGCTTTTGTGGGGGGGGGGGGGGTAACATGAATAACATTAAGCAGTGCTGTATCCAAAAGTAAATGCTCAACAAACATTGCCCACCCTCAATCCCCATTAGGAGTCTAGGAACTAGTAAGTGGTATAGTCCTTGAAGATCCAGTTCTCTTATTTCCAAAATACTACTTAATTTTAAATAGAAATTTATGATTTCTGATCCTTTGAGCACTTGTCTGCAGCAAGTAATTTAGGTTGTTCATTTCTTTTTAAGGTACTAACGTGGGATGTGGGAAAAATAACTCCACAGAAGCTCCCAAGTCTTAAGGGATTGATAAATTTACAATCAGGCGCACCAAAGCCGGAAGAAAATCCAAGCCTCAACATACAGTTCAAGATCCAGCAACTTGCAATTTCAGGTACAAAATGTTTGGGTTTAAGGATAATTGTTTTACTGAGCTTGGTGCTTAGGTAACAAACCTTCCCTGTTGTAGAGAAAACAACAGATCTGCTTTAATATAAACAAGTTAAAAAACACACACAGAAAATAAAACAAGAAATAGATCCACTTGGCGTTTTCCACTGTGCTGTGGGAACACCTCCCTGGCATGCATTGTTGTGGAGAGCACCTTATTTCACTGCGCGTCCCTTCAACCTGCCCTGTTTCACTCAGCAAAAAGGAAGGCATTCATCGTCACAGAAAGCAGAGTTCCCTGTCCACAAGGGAATTTTAGCTAAAGCTATAGCCCACACTGCAATAATTTGTGAATATATATTGGTGGGCCATTTCCAAATGATAAATGGAATAACTACTTAATATTATATGTACTCTATTGTTTAAAAAATTGTATTTTATATAACTGAAATGTAGTAATTTATTGCTTTCATTCTTTTTGACACAGGCTTAAAAGTAAATCGCTTGGACATGTATGGGGAGAAATACAAGCCATTTAAAGGAGTCAAATATGTCACGAAAGCTGGAAAGTTCCAAGTGAGGACATGAGACCAAAATTAATCAAGATCAGTTTCTTTTCCAAGTGTCATTACAGTTTATTACCATTAGGTACCAAGTGGGTGGGATTATGTGCTCTAGTTAAAGCATTTGCGTCAAGCTACACACCTCTAACAAAATTGCTTAATAGTCAATGTAAGGTTCTTAAGGCGCTTTAAGCTAAGGAAACTTTTATAACGTCTTAGCTTATTTTGTATCTTTTCACTTTGGAAGATTTTGAAGGGGAGGGAAGTATCAGCAGGATGGTACACATTGTGACAGTAAAGGCAGATTACAAGTGAACTGGTTTCCAGTCAGGGGAACCTGTGTTAGTTTGTGATGTGGCATGGTAGGTGTGGCCAAGTATCATACCTTCAGATATTAGACATCCAAATCAGTATCTGTCCCAACAGAGGAAATGCTCCCACACCCCTAAAGTTTACAAAAAAAAAAAAAAAAAACTGCCTCTTCAAGTGTTTGCCTTATTCAGCTTTTCACTTGTGCCATTAAGCAAGCACTGTAGCAGAAGCCACTTCCACATGGCCCTGGCAGGGAGCAGTGCTGCTCCTTGCTCCATCTTCACTGTACTTGGTATTGTATTTTTTGTAAGATTTTTATGTAAAGCTCAGATTTTGATTTACCGGAACCTTGCTGCAGACCCTCTCCGTTTTGTGCCACTGGTTCAGCTAGATAGCACAGTAAAAATCATTTGTGTTACAGGGGCAAATGCTTTATGAAGGTAATAAAAGGGAGCACTGCTCCTGCTAGTTCTTTCAAGCACAGGCATTTGCGCTTTTAAGCAAATTAACGTAGCAAAAGAGAAATTTTAGTGAAACCTTTGCTATCTTTGTGTTTTATAAAGTTTATCTGATACCCCTTTGGCCATAGGTAGCCCAACTGCCTCTAAACCCAGTTCAGCAAAAGGAGGAAGTGCACCTGTCTCACTGCTGTCTTGGCTGTTTGTAAGGCACTGTCTGTGCTGGCATCCCTTGTCCGTAGGGGGAACTCCCTTACCACAGACTTACTTCTTGAGCCTGCACTCTTAAATTGCTTCCCAGAATTTCTATCATATTCATCACTGGTGTACTTACACCCGCTACTAATCTGATAAAATACATAGAAGCGTGTTACATTGAGGCAGAAACAAAATGCTCAGTGATCAACTTTGTACTAGCTTATTAACTGTCAAGGTTAGAAGACGAATCTCGGCCTCTTGATCGTCCCTGCCCCATTTTTTGCCCGATGACGTGAAGAAATGGAGAAATGCTGAAAGTTAAGTGTTTCCTCTTCTGTTGGCTCTTCTTACTCTTACTACTGCTACCAGTTTCCTCCTAGAGCTTTGATTCTGTTGTTCTCAGCTTGTAACTCTTCCCCTTACAGTGCTAAGCAAAGCTCACACCTTCATTATGGTTATACTGTCAAAGGTTAGTGATTGGTGCTGGTCTGGGAGTCCACTATACAGCACATTCTTAACTTTGCCTGCCTTTTTCTAACAAGAAAGGCCACTTTTGGCAACTAATCTCAGATGGGCAGGTGAAGGTAAAATATTACCAAATACTCAAGTCTCTTTTCCACTAGTCGGTCACCCAGTTCCATTGCTTTTTGTTTGTAATGTCTTAACTTCAAATTTCTTACCTCAGATGTCCCACTTTTCTTCCTGTGCTGTCTTATCTTGTACCCAAGCAGAACATATGCCAAGAGTTCCTTGCCTTTAGCAGTTTCTGTTAAAACATCAAGTAAACTCTTTCCTCTTTTATTTATTTATTAATCTGAAAGAACCCAGTAAGTCCTTTCTCTAGCTCTGGGTATAGTGTCAATAAAGGTGAAAGTAAGAACTTATTTTCTTTTTTATTTTAACCACACATTCTTGGATGGGCAAGGCTTTGCAGAGCAAGCTAAACATGATCAGATTTTGTGAGCCAGCAACTGTGGTGTGAGGCCTGCTGCACAGGTCACTTCCGAGTGTGTGTCTCCTAACTTGGATATGTTAGCAGCCAATTTGCCCCTTCTGGCCACAGACTAAGTGATAAACTTTGTTACCACCATCTCCTACCAATTACAAAAATCCGTAAGTACTCAGTAGTAGTAGAAAATTTGTCAAGCAGAATTCCAGCTAATCTGAGAATGGAGTAAATGCAGTCATAACCATTTTATTCAGAAAGTTCATCTAATGACAGGTTCACGACCTAAGTGATGCCACAGAAGACCCCTTGGGGGATGCCAATTTTATTGTCCAGCAAGGCACCTGGTTTGAAAAAACAACTGTAGTGCAGCAGGACAGCAGCATAGTGAACACAGCGGTGACAAGATTGCTTGGCTAGTTTGCCAGCCTTGGACATTTTCCTTTAACTTGAGGCAGGTTAGAATCTGCCTCTAAATGAAAGCGGTGATAGATGCAGCTAACACCACCGAAGCAGTACCCTTTAATATCTTGACCTCTTTCAGAAATGTGTCAGGAAATCGGGCATAAGCACTGATATCCCAACTGGTGCAAGAACAAGGTCCTTCAAGCAAGAGAAAGGATGGGAGGTATCTCTGAAAGCCAGCTCGGCCTCCAAGCCTGGTGGACCTGGCAGGCCTACTTTTCCATACTAGCCTCTGGAATATAAAACATTAGTGTCGGGTTCCACACACTTCACAGTATCAGCTCTTTAGGGAACACTGATGGGTCTCCACAAAAACAGCACCTTTTTTTGTTGTTTTTAAAGATTTATGTTTTGTTTTTATTGGAAAGTCAGATCTACAGAGAGGAAGATCTTCCATCTGCTAATTCACTCTCCAAGAGGCCACAACAGCCACAGCTGAGCCAAGTCGGGTGCCTCCACCAGGTCTCCCACCCGGGTGAAGTGTCCCCAAGGCTTTGGGCTGTCCTTGACTGCCTTCCCAGGCCACAAGCAAGGAGCTGGAGGGGAAGCAGGGCTGCTAGGATTAGAACCTGTGCCCACAAGGGCCCCAAAACAGCATCTTCTAAGATAAAGACTGCTTTGACCAGGGAGTAATCCTATCATCTGCCCACTTATACTCCTGGCCCGTAACCTCAGAAAGGTCTCTTAGCACACAAATCCTCGTTAAATAAAAGCACTGCTGTCAATTCTTACTTCTAACATTTAGATTGAATAAAAAATCTTTAGTTTTCAGATCCTGAGGATTAGTTTCTTTGACTATTCTGCAAAAAGAGAAAATTGAGAAGGTTTGGTAAAATAACATAGTCATCATTTAGAGCATTGTTTATACAAATTATTTTATTGTTTTAAACAACAAAAGAGGCGGAAAATATTTGCATATAATAAATCCTAGTTTATAAATGTAGGGGTTTTTTAGTGAGTTTTTTTCTCTAATCATGGAGTTTTTTGTTTTGTTTATTTGCTTCACCGTATCTTGAGCTCTGATATTAGAGAAAAGCACATCTGGCATAAAGTGTAAACCAGTGTCTCAGAACACTGGAGGAACTTGGAGAACAAACATGACTTTTCGTATTTCCTCTGAGTAATCTTTAGTAAAACAAAAAGCGATCTTTGGCATAGAGTCATACTTTAAAGGCATTAATATTGCATTTATATCAGTAAGCAATATACAGATATGCTGAAGGCCTTGAAAATAATCTTTCAGTTAAAGGAAATAAAAGAAAGCTCAAGAGTATAGGATCAACTTCAGACAACTTTTACACATTAAGACCTAACACACATTGGGTCTGGGAAGGAAGGATGTTCAAGCATGGGTTCTTACTCCTTTCCGTATCTGGTTCTGGTTTTGGGAAGAAACACCATTTCATGTGCTAGGGAATGCTTAGCAGTAAATGCAAAAGGAAAAAGTTGTCTTCTCTCTGACTTGTCTGATAGCAACCTTACAACTGCGACAGTGAAATGCTGTGCCCATTATACTCTTGAATACTTGGGAGAGGATGTCAGGGGCTTAGTTGCAGTTGATTGAAGGGAGGTATGAACAACAAGAGTCACTTCCCATTGAATTCTGCAGCACCCAAATTTTAGGCTGCAGATAACATTCTCAATTAATTGAAAAACGGCCTTCAGACAGGATTCCTTTTCCATTAAATGCTATTGGGGGAGAAGCACTAATTCATAGGACTGAATTTCAAGAGGATAAAAGTCTTTCAAGATTAAAAATGAACAAATACCTAAGTAACTTTAAAATCTTGTTTAGGGTAAGGTGTGAGGGAAGACTAAAATGGTCATGATTCTTCATGATTGGTTAAAAATTAAATGCAGCATTTCAGCTCAGAACAGCTGAGAGCTAAGAATGAATAAGGCCTCAGCACAAGCCTCTGCAGGCAGTGACAAAGCATGAAGTGCCTGGGAGTGGCCCTGCAAGGAGGCTGCGCAGGACCACACCCGGCCACTCTGTCCCTCCTGCAGCAGAGAGCACCAGCAACACAGTGTGTTCATGGGATCGGCTGCCTTGGCAGGCCGAAGCAGAACTGGGGACAGTTTCCATAACATGGACAGTTCAGGGGCATGGTAGAGAGAGAATTGTGATTTTATTACCTCCGGACAGTAAAATTTGGTTTTAAACTGAGAAAAGGATTAAATCGAGGAAGGGCAGGAAATGATTTCAGGCCCTGTTTGCTAGAGCTCCCCAGCGGCTACCATCCCATGCAGCAGCAAAGCTCACTTCTGCAGAAGAACCAGGAAAGGCAGACAGGGTCAGCAGCAACCTGGAAGGCCTAAAATAATGTTTGGAGGCACAGTGATTTCCTTAAGTGAATTGCCCTCCGGATCCAGGGAGTCTATAGGGAGGATGAGGACCAGTAAAAGGCAAACAGAAAGAGAGGTGTCCCCTCAACAATAAGGGCAGAGAGGTGTCTGGCTAGTGTTTACTCTTGAATTCTGAGCTTATGTGAAGTCCATGGGCTAGAAGCCCAAAATGCCTTAGAGTGTGCACAAGGATAACTGTGTTTGAGAAATCAGACTATATGGAGACACATCTCAATGTGTCCATGACAAAAAAAAAAAAGTATAAATGTTTTCTAATATGAAGAAGCCCCCATTCCTTTCTGACATGAGGGGCTAGGTTGTGACTAAAGCCCCAGCCATTATGGGTGACTCCCAGGACTTGATCATTTTCCTTCTATTTAGTATGGACTTCGGTGCCAGCCATGTCCAGCGAGGTGCCTACTGGTACCAGGGCGTCTTTCTAACCCAGCGCAGTGTAAATCCAGCATCTGTTCGAATTTTGATTGAAGCCGCTTCTGCTTCTCGCACAGTCTCCTTCACAGACTGCATGAGGTTCTGGGCATTGTGAACCAGCATCTCTGTGGCCTGCAGGGCAGAAGGACGGCTCATTATTTCTACTCTGATTCAACCTGCACTTTTGCCAGGGGTGGACTATTATTAGTCCCACTTAAATCTGCCACACCACCCCTACCACTTGTTTGCCTCACCAAAAAGAGCCCAAAACTGAACCATCCTCATTATGTACTGTGCCACTCCAAGGCCTGTAGCACATACTCATTTGGTCTTCAAACATGTTCTTCCCTCAAAATTCACTATCCCTTCCTCCTGCAGTGTTCTAGTTGGCCCATGAGTACCTCCTCTCCTCCTTCAGATCTTTGCTCGCTCAGCTGTTAACTCGATGAGACCTCCCCTGCTCACATAATCACAAAGTACTTCTGATGTGCTAGCATCCCACATCCTCCAATTCTCTCCACGGAACCCACCACCACTAACTCATGAACTCTGTTTTATCTAGGATGTTTGGTTATTTGTTTCTACACTCCTAATTGTTACAGGGCAGGTATTTTTATTGGGTCTGTTTACTGCTGCACCCAGGGTTCATGACAGTGCCTGACACATGGGAGGTGTGGCACTAATCACTCTGCTGGGAAGCGGACCTGTACAGCCAGAGTAGCAGTGGGGGCTTCAAGAGAGCCCTACTGTCACTGATACACAGTTACCTGAGACACAACCTTGCTACACCTCAGGTTCCCATGTATAAAGTGACAGAAGTTGCATAAGAGCTGCTTTTCTAATCCCAAATTCCCAAAGCATCTCCCAACAGTCATCCTGAGAGTGACTCAGGTGCATCCCACGCACCCAGTGTTTCAAGTAGAGGTAAGAATTTCCCATAGCTAAGTCCTGCAAAACAGCAAAGACACTGCTGATAAGAACCTAGAAGCAGCCAACAACGCACCTGCTCAGACTCCTCATCGCTGATGTTAGTCCGGCCCAGCATGGTGGCCTTCACCGTGGACAGGATTTTGAGCTGGGTACTTATTGTTGGGATTCGCTCACACACCTAAAGAGAAAAGTTTCATTTGGAATGTTTCCACATCAGTCTTATCTGCACCTCCATAAAAGCCACACATGCATCTTCTGCATTGTCAGTGGCCAGCATTGAAATGGTACTAAATTGACAGCAAAAATCCACTTGTTTTACCCCTCAAGTTAGTACAGATTTAGGTAAGCAGCTTTCCTGAGTGTGTTCACCCCAAATACATGTATTTCCCCCTCTGCCTTTTCTTTCCACCATTATTCACCCTGTTTCCTCCCCTGCTTTTTCTTCTACACCTCACACAGACTTTTTCCCAAGTACCTGTAGGAGGTTGGTTCTAATCCGCTTGTCTGTGCACTGTTTGGCAACCTCCTTGGCCAGCCGGGTCACCTCATCCGAGGCCTTGGCGATGTCCTTGGCACACTGAATGAGTGCCCGCTTGGTACCACTGCCCCCTCTCACAAGGCGGGACATCTCAGCCATCAGCAGAGCCATACGCTTGGCTGCTGCAATGATGTCGTTGCCCTGGAGAGAAGCAGAGACACAGTGTGAGGTCTGTCTGCGCTCTGTTGGATGTCAAAGAAGGAAGCAGAGAAACAGAAGGCAGGAGGGAGTCTGCCACTTAGCAGCCCTCTGGAGGATGAGGAGAGGATGAAAGGATGGTTCCGAGAGACATAGACAGCACAGGAGAAACAGAAGAGTGAGCCAGGACACTTGCCCCAGCCAACAATCAGAGAAACCGCTCTCCCCACTGTAGGAAAGACCAAGATATTAGTCTCAAAGGGCAACATGAGTGCCCAGGCACAGCACTGAACAAGCACTTCAGCATCCCTAGGTTAATCATGTCAACCATGGGAAGAGGGCCAAGGGGTTGGTTAAACAGCCATTTTCAGTTTCACAGGGAGAAAGCAGCAGAGCCAGCAGGAGGGGAAAAACAGAGAGGAGCCTTTCCAGAGGCTGCAGTCCTCTTCATCCAGTCCCTTGTTGCAAACAGCAGCTGAGGACTCACTACTTCACTAGAACTGGAAATCCCAATAATCTCAGACTGAGTGAGGGGGTAGAATAAAGATGTTTCAGATCTAAACTGCCCCATCCCTCCCCTAAGATCTCCTGTGTGTCCTCTCAGCATGAAGGAATATGTCATCTTAATTTCTCACATATAAAGGAATGAGAATCAATTTTTGAATCCCTTTAGCTAAGTGAGGCTTCCAATTAAAGGAACTTCTGGCTAAAAGGATGCCAAGGGAGGAATCAAAAATTAAAATTGTTAGGCTGGAATTACAGCTCCCAGTCTAACTAATGGCAACTGATCTGAGATTTGGCATTTTGGTTCACTGAAACCCTCACGGGCAGTAATGCAAGAAATGCAGGCCTTTTTTTTATGCCCCAGGAGGTTCGTCTTTGAGCTGAAAACAACTCAAAATACCCAAAACTACATTAAAGGCCGGGCCCTATTCATTTTTCCCCTCATGCAAAGTAGCAGTGAGGCACACAGACCATGCCACTGCAGGGCGCTCTGGGAGAGACCTCCACAGGCACCTAGAAGTGGCTCTTTGTTCACACCAAGGGTGTGCAATATCTCAAGCAATAATTGAGGCACAGGAGTACGCAAGTCAGTCAGGAGATGAGGGGTGTGTTAGACAAGGCCCTTTGGCTCCGCCTGTTCCAGCGCAGTCCTGGGGTCATTCCAGGAGTTCATGGCCTTGGTTAGAAGACAGCACAGTGCCATGGTTAGTTCCCACCCATCATTCTTCAAAGCCTTTCTTCTTGCAACATGCCACTCTTAAAGGGAAAAATGTGATCACCCCCACCTCCTACTCCGCAGTCTATCCTTCAGCCCCGGAGGCCTCTCCTGAGAGCAGCTTTGAATGCTTTCAGATTCCAGTCCCACCCCTTCCCACTGGCATATCCTGACAAGCACTAAGGGAAGCCCCTTTCCCTGGGGGCTCCTGTCAAGGCCAGCATCTGCCACACAGCCAAGGGCAGGGCAGCAAGCAGTTCTTCCCAGAGATCTTGCCATATAAAGCTACCTCTCACTCTCATCATCTCTGCCTGAGCCGTCAGAGAGCAGGTGGCAGCACGTAAAGCTCAGTGCTCAGGCCCAGTGACCTTCAATGACTGACAGTAGTTACCAGCCTTGAAGTCACTGAGAGATAATCCATGGATTCTCAAGGGGCTTAAAGACCCAACAGTGGCTACAAGGTCACTAAGGAATCCACTTAAAAAGTGACCCTAAAAGTGTTTCCATTCCCTCTCCCATCCCCCACTCGACATAATGCAATCCAATTTATCTGGCATTAGCAGACCTATCAAACTTGTGAGGACAGCCCTAACAACAAGGTGCAGACAGACAGATGCCCTCCCTGCTCAGACTCACAGGACCCGCACAGATCATGAGTGATGCAATGTGTCAAGGCTGCACATGGCCGGATGCATTTGGAGCAGCTCCCGACTGGGGGTGCTAAGCAGTACCTTACTAGACCACTTGGTAGCTTCCCGATGCAAGGACTGAGCCGCGGCCAGAATGGGCTGGTTGACTGGCTGATTGGTTGGCATTAACAGCAGCTCAGGTTCGTAATCGTCTTCCATGTCAGAGGGGACAGGGAACCCAACAGCGTCAGCCGCATCTGCCTCGGCTACACCACCAATACCCACCTGCGCGGCTGGGATACCCGGCTTTGTCGATGGCAGGAAGGATGAGAAACAGGGACAGTGTTAGTAAGAGCAGTAGGATTTGGGAAACTGACCTTCAGCTGGTTTAGTAACCAAAGCTTGCCTGGGGTAGGGTGGGGAAAGAAAATGGCGTATTCCCCAGGAGCCAAGGGAGCGAAGGTCCACAAAGGGCAGGACTCTCAGCCCTGGCCGCTCTGTGATGAGTAAACAAAAGAAACCCACTCCAGTGGCAAAGGGTTGGCAGGAAAAGATTTATACCAACAAAGCATTCCTTTTCAACTCACCTACTGAAGTGCAGCTTGACAAGAGAAATTCTGACACCACGACAACTTTAGAAGTTAACCAAAGAAGTAGAAGGTAATTAAAAGGACTTAGGAGGGCAAAAGTGATTGCAGCTGTGTAAGTTGCTCCAAATAGAACAGCCTGAACACCATGCGAGAGCATATTGTCACTGCTCCACGTCTTTCTGGGACAGAGTTGGGTCAGCTCTACAACTGCCAGAAAGTTCCCTCATCAGGTTAAAAACTCCAGAATTTAAAATTTTATGTTGGAGGTAACAAATATCAAAGCAGGCAAGAGGCAGGAAAATAAACAACAGCAGAAGAAAAAGATGCCTTACGTTGCTCCACGATCACTCAGCCTCCAGTCTCACAAAGGAGGGAAACCCACGGGGCAGCCCAGCTCTGCGCACTCTCCTCAGTGTCCACCCTCTCGTATTACACCTACAGCTAGTAGCAGCAGGACTCTCCTTGGACACAACCTAAGCCTGCCTTCCTTTACAGAAGAGGGCCTCGCCTCCACATTTGACACACCTACTTCATACAGAGGATATCATGTAGACTTGGCAACTGACCGAGACTGAGCTCAGAGAAGCCCTCATAGGAGCCTAGCATGGTGCCACTGGGATCACAGAACATGAATCTGCTACCACAGTCAGAGACGTTAAAAGGCCAAAACAACAGAGGTGTCAGATGCTGAAAATAGGCTGGCATGGGAAGAAAATAAAAGAGTTGTTATAGTGAAGCCAGATGATTTATATGGAGAATGGCTAACACGGATTTGCTACATCAAATAGCTTACCAAGAGGAAGCAGGAGTGTGCATGGGATTTT